GACGTTACCTACTGCTGCCGGCTTCGTGTCCCTTCCTGCCGGTCAAACTGGATGGAGAACATCTGAGCTCATCACGTTTCAAACTTGTTGGTTTATCATAAACAGTGAAACGCACTGAAGTTTGTCTTTGTTCTGGCCGGCATGAAAATTTGCATTCGACCACAACTGAGCAGAAACCGACCGCGTTTCGTCTCCCAACATAAAACCTGCAGGCAGTATTGATTTCTTAATTTCTATGCCAATGTCTTGTAAAATTTCCTCACTTATGCAAATTTTTGCAAACTTCTCAAAAACTCAAAACCTCAGCAAGCGATAAAAAGAGAGGGGCAGGCAAATGTGCTTTCAGAACGGTAGGAGATTGTAACTGAAAGCCCATCTCTGTCTGTTCTCCTCATGAGTATTCAGAATCTGACTCTCTTGTCTTTCCTGTGTTATTGTTAATAGGCGTCAACTCTGACAGAAAAAAAAAACTATTTAGAAATTTGGATTAGTCTTACAAATATTCCAGAAGAAAATGGACATTTGAGCTTGAAAAGTGGAAAATTTGGTAGAAAAAAGTCCCATTGAGATTAATCTCAAGAAAATTTCTTGCCCGTCAGACTGGATGGAGAACATCTGAGCTCTAGTTGAGCTCCTAAAGTTGAAAATTTCCTAAAATAAAATAATAAAAAAGATCATCATTGTTTTGAACAAGGAAATTTCTGAGCTCCAAAAGTGAAAAATTTGCTGGAAAACTTTGAAATTCTTAGATTAATCTCAAATATTTGAGTTTTTTCCTGCAAGTTTTCAACTTTTAAAGCTCAGAACCTTCCATGTTTTTCTAGAAAATTTCTGAGATTAAACCCACAATTTTTTTAATTTGAGAAAAAAATTCCTCCTTTTCATCTGCACTGGGTCTAAAACGCCGTCACAGGAAACCATCTTATTGTTACCACAGAAGCTAGCTTCACCCCAACTAGAAATATGCTGCAAGTAAATATAAAATACTGCAGAAGTATTTTGTTAAAGATGCTAAAGATGTAAATTACAAAGAGTTAACTCTGAAAATATCTCAGTTTGTACATTTCCTCATGGTGAATTGCCAAAGGAGAGCAGAAAACCAGCAAATCGTCTTTAAATTGTGGCCGTGCACCGTTACACTCGGCTCATTAAGCACAGATCTTTCCACTGGTTTGTCTATTGTCTCCAGTTTGTTTACATTCAGACAGCAGAGTGAGACAATGGATGGGAAGCATACCGCAACCCAGTGGGGGGTCAAAGTTCAGCCACAACTTACAGGAAAGTTACATTTCCTGTAACCCAGGAAATGTAACTTTTCATGAGCAGAGATGATGATGCAGACTTTCATTCCCCATGGCCAACATGTTAATATTTTTGACTGTTTAACTGTAAAATAGATTAAAAAATGTCAATACTAACCAGTTAATGTGCGTTTCAGTGAGTAAAGGAGATCGACATGACTGCATGTCTATTTTCAAGCCAACGACTTTCTGAAGTTTTCTTGATTTTCTTTGGCGTTCAGCCTCTTTTTGCAAACTTTCAGCCTAGTCTGTGCAGCCAAATATGAGAAAATACTAGGTCAGCTTAAAGACAAGAGAAATCAAGAGTAAAAAACTAAATAAAAAGTAATATCAATGTTCAGGAGAGCCAAAGCTGTCAGAGTCCAACTGAAAAGTTCTGGAGACTTTAAAAGACTTTGGTTTAAAACAATTGCAAAGTCCAACAGTAGGGTTGCTTTCACTTCCAAAACTGTCACATTTAATAATTAACCTTCTTTAAAAACATGTAACAATAGAACAAAAATATTTCATTTGCAACTGAAAAACTGCTGAAGTTGAATCTGATGTGAGAAAGTTGCCAGTTTGATTATTTTTTTGTGGAAATTTATTATGCAAAGAAAGAAAAAAAATAATCCAAGTGTTTATCAGTTTTAGTGGAAATGAATTTATTTCAAAAATAAAAACACAAATATTCAGGTTCTCGGGAGATTAGAGAGATTTGCATCAGACCAACTGAAAAATCTATGAACCGAACTGAATGCTCTGCGTTTCCATTGACCATTTAGTGGCACAATTTGACATTTTGAATATAAATTTGCTGAATGGAAACACGGCAATTAAAATAAAAACTCTTTTTTTTCATATATAAAAAAAGTTTTGACACCAGGTTGAGGTAGTTTTTGTTTTGACTGTTTCTAAAATTGGTTTATTTTGCAGAATTGCAATGGATAAACACTCCTTCCACACACACACACACACACACACACACACACACACACACACACACACACACGAGCAACCTGATCAGCAACCGGATGTTACTCCTGGTGGAAACTACAAAGACGACGACAACAGGAAGTAGGAGGAGGATCGCGGCACTGCATGTTTTTTAATGACTTATCACATAAACAAAATTTTCACGCGTGATTTTAATTGAGTTCCTTATTTACAGGAAAAACAGCAACTGCAAAATTGTGGGGGTGGGGGGTTTCGATTAGCAAAATACAAAGATTTACGCTCATTTGTCGTGGAAACACAGCTAATGTGTGTATGTTTTGTTAATATCCTTATAACTGGATCTGATGAAGTCACACAGGTACAGTTACCTGTTGATATGTGGAAGGGTGTCACTTTCACAATATTTACCCTCACTTTTTTCTTCCACTTAATTTACATCGGCTTAATCACATCGCTGAAACTGCAAAACATTTCTGCTCTGAAAATGATTTAACTCTAATTTTCAGATACATTTTTCATTAGCTTCAAGCAAAAATAAAAAGAAAAGATACATGTAAATTCACAGAAAATAAACCCTTGAACAATACATTTACTTTATTTTTTCGAGGAAGCACCAGTATGACTGACCGCGTTCATCCATCGTGCAACAGTGTGAAGGTTAAAAACGCTCATCCTGATGTTAAAGCCTGTTATTCCCGCAGCCGCATGGAAGCTCTGCAGCTCAGACTCTGCAAAGCTCCAGAAATAATCCCTCCACAGAAACACATCTGCAACTTTAAATGACAAATAAAAATAAAAACCCAGGCGAACTCACCTTTGAGACGGTCATGTGTTGGTTTCTCCTGGAAGAGGACTCTGCTGGTGCTGCTGGACTTGGATCCGGATCCGGTGGCACTTTGCGGCGTCGTTAGATCATCGGTGGCAGCTGCATGGCGGCCGCTGAAAAAGTCACAATGTCCGGCTTCACCTTGTGAGACCCACAAGTCCGTCTGGAAAACGGAAAAAAAACTAAAAATCTGCAGAAACTGCAAGACAGGACGGTTCGGCGTCCTGACAGACTGCTGGAGCCCGGAGGGGAAGAGGAGGAGGAAGAGGAGGAGGATGATGCGACGACGCCAGGAGGAAGAGGAGGGAGGGGCGAGGGCATCAGGTGCAACTCTAGGAAATTAGGATTAGAAACAATAAAGCTGCTATAAATGGAATAAAGTCCATTCTGCAAGAAAAACAAACATATTTCATCTTAAAAATACGTCAAAAATGAATAAACTGATAAAAAAAAGGTAATTATCAGGGAAAGTGGTGAATTATTTTGACTCCATTATTGAATTGGTGCCAGCTGAAACGGGTGTGTCGGCTTGATTACTGACTGATTTAAACAAAGGTCCAGGTGCGACCCTAAACTTTCTGGCTCCAGGGGCAATCCTAACCCTGCTGCCCCCCACCCCTACCCTCGTTCCTTCTTTTATTTTTTATTTTTGCGTAATTTTAGTTGTGTTGATGCAAATAGCCTAGTTTTGCCAGGTTGTGCATTTTGGGATGAATTTATTTTATTTTGTCCATTCCCCACCCTCTTTATGTGTTTTTAAACTAAATAGAACAGCCTATGTCCATTTGATAAGATTATTTTATAGAACTCTATGTTTTGCTGTTTTCCACAAAGTTTTGCATAAATTGAAATATGAGCGGGGAAAGCCATTTTCTTGAATCATTAATTTTGTACAAAGGGTTATAAATAAACCTCAGTAAGTGTCAAAGCTATTTTTCCAATGGGTTAAAAAGTAAGAACAACTAAAACTGACTCAAAAGGAGTTGTATTTCAGAAAATTCATAACTTTTTGGTAAATTGTGATGAAGTCAATAGCAACATTTACCAAGAAAAAAATAACAATATATTGAACAATAATATTTTTATAACAATCCTTACAAGAGCTTTGATTTTAAGGAATCAGGTGGAACAATTTATTTAAATATGCTTTTGCATAATAAACAAATGATGATTAGAAACCATCCATCCATTGTCTTATGTTCCTCCAAAATCAGGTCGAAGGCGCAATAGGTCCAGGACTGTCAAAAATAGTTTAACACTCATAGCCCCCACAATCATTTTAAAATATTAGATGAGAAAAATATTTTTGCACAGTCTTTAACAAGTGGAGATTTACTTCTTTGTCTTCTTTGACCTGCATCTCCTGAGGGCTAAGCCCCCCTTGTCCTTAAAACCTTGTGACGCCCCTGCCTGCCCCAGCAGTTAAGATCTATTTTTGGCCTAGATAAAGCCCTTAAATGAGGCTATACAGTTTATTCACACCAGTCCAGTTTAATCATTGTCTGTAAATTCCGGTTCATTTATGGAGGTGTGAATGTGCAAGTGGACTCTGCTCTTCCTACAAACCTTGGTCTCAGATTGGTTAAAGTGAACTCTGGTGCGGTTCGAATGCATAAGAGAACAACAAGTTGACCAGACTGCTCCAAAAGCAGGAGGCGGCCTGAAACGCAGGGCATTCTGGGTAAATACAACCAAAACAAACGCGCTAGCCACTAGAGAGTGAAATGACTTCTGCTCTTGTACCAAGGACAAAAGAGAAATCCTACAATCGCTAAACTCGGACTCTACTCCGTTTTAATTTACATTTTGTGAAGGAGGAAGATGCGCTCAGTGTCTTCTTTTTATGTTGTTTCCTTGAGCAGTTCTTGGTGCAGCGCCACCACAGGCGGGGAGGGCACCGTGTGAAAGTGAACCGCAGCAGCTGAAAACATAAATATTGCAACTTCGATCCCCAATCAAACCGACCGCACCGGACAGTCAACAGAAAACAGTGATTGTTGCAAAGTTTACACCTTAGCTTGACTGCATGCGGCTGATCGATCCATTGTTTTGGATCTTAAATTAATCAGACTGTGATTAGATTCCGTATGAGTGGATATGGATGTTTATTTTATTCAGTGTGTTGTGATCTGGATCTTTCACGTTCAGCCGATCGGTGATGAAATGCTGACGTGTCGAGTCACATTATTTGCATGGATAATATTGTACCTTCCAGCTGGTTCACCTTTTAATCACAGACATCTGAATGGTCGGAGACGCTCACGTGACGATGACGTAATGTAGAACCAGGATGTTTGAATCTTAACTGTAGGTGGAACCAGTTTATCATTAGCGTTGTTTTGAACGTTCATATTAATGTGAACAACATATGAAGTCATGTAGGATGTTTGTCAGGATATTTGACGCCCCCTTCTGACCAAATAACGCAATTACAGAAGAATTCATCTAAAAAGAGAGAATGCTGATTACTCGCATTTTAATTAAAATATTTTCAATTTAAAGGGCATTCTGTTGCAGAGTTTTTAATATTGACATAAAAACATTAATTTCTGATTTAGTAAAGTGTTAATTAGGGGGAAAAGTACTTTTAGGAGTATTTTTACTACTCTGTACTTTTTACTTTAACTTGAGTAATTTTATTATAAAGTATCTCTACTCTTACTTGAGTAAAATGTCTATTTTCTGCCCACTGAATGAAAAACAAACGTGTTGTAACTAAACTTTCAGCAGACTCAGACACACACCTGCAGTTTTTTATTAAAGTTTCATAAGTTTTTATTGAAAGAAACTGATTTGGAAAAAAATTGTCTAATTTTGTTCTTTTTTGTTACCTATATGAATTACTGTCATGTTGGTCCTTAACATGCCAAAATTTCCACTTAACTTTATATGTTGGTCTGTTTGATTATGTAATTTATAAATATCAAATAATTGATCATTTAGTCAGTTACTCAGTACTTGAGTAGACTTCACCAAATGCATTTTTACTTCTGACTGCCGTTAAAGTGGCTTTAATTGTGTTTCTTATTTAATGTAAATTATGTTTATTGACAAAGTTTTGAGGATGTTTGTAATGGAAGTGCAGCTAATAAAGGATATTTCTATTCTAATTTCCTGTAAAGCAATCTGACTGAAAGGTGCCTTGTAAATAAATTTACCTTCCCAGAAAAGTCAGCGAAAAACAAACACAAAATGTCTTGGGTTGTAGATTTAGTAAAATTTAATTTATCTACAAATATTTTTTCCATACGGCATACAGATAGATTATTAATTCTTTTCAATGTGGCTCTTAAATTGATAAGTTACACAGTATCATACAGAAGCTGGATGCCAGAACTGCACAAAAAGTTGAAAAAATACGTCTTATTTTCTGTGGTCTTTACATGTTTTTCAGTGTTTTGCAGCATATCGTAGAGCGGTTTAGCCGTCGAGAAGAAATGGAGGAAATCCAGGTGAAGTGTGCTACTTTCCAAACTCCACAGCCGATTTCCCACTTCAAACGATGTTAAAATCAACCTAGACTCTGTGTTTGTGATTAGAAAACGTAGAACAGCAGAATAAAATAAAATGCCGACGGGGGAACACTGTGGAGATGAACGCACTGACGAGCTTAAACCTCTGAGAAGAACCTCAGCTTGAACACAGAAACGTCCAGAAACTCAACACACGGGGAAACGAAGACAACATGGCAGCCGGGAGGAGAAACCGGATCGGCGAGCGCGAAGCCGGTCCTCCGGTTCTCAGGCAGGAAGTCTCTTCTTCTCTCTGTAGTGTTTCCTCTCTAATCCTCGTCTTCGTCATCTTCGTCAGAGGTCTGGTCCCGCAGGTCGTCTTCATCTTCCACCTGTAAGGGAAGGGCCACAGTCTAACTAGAGCAAACAGACAGAACAGAGCCGGGTCAGACGGCGACCTCTGACCCCTGGGAGGTCGTGACAGAGATTCATGTTTCTGGTTAAAGACACTGATGGAGAAACTTCTCAGAAGATTAAAACAAGGAAGGATGTAAAGAAAGGAGGGAAGAAACAAAGAAAGGAAGGAATCAAAGGGAAGTGAGGAGGGAACTAACAAAACTAGGAAAGAAATAACAAAAAGGAAAGAAAGAAGAGAAAAACCCAGAAAATATGTAAAGAATGGAGGATGGAAGAACAGAAAGGAAGGAAAGGAGGAGAAAGGAATCAAGGAAGGGAAGGAAGGAAAGAAAACAGGAAAGGAGGGAGGAAGGAAGGAAGTAAAGGTTTGACCTTGTTTGACCTCCAGTAAAGTTTTTTGACCTTGTTTGACCTCCAGTGAATGTTTCCGTACCGTCTCTCCCAGGTCTTTGAGTCTCTGCTTGAGGCTGTGGATCTTCTGGTCCTGGTCCGCCAGCAGCATCAGCAGGTCGTCCTGCTCCTTCTTGGACTCCTGGACCTCCGTCTGCAGCTTGGCCTTCTCCGTCTGCAAGATGGCCGCCGTGCTGGTGGCCGCCGCCAGCTGCTGCTCCAGTCCTGATCGATTCTCCTGAATAAGCACCGAGGAGGAGAAAGAGAGAGACGGTAGGAGAGACGCGGCGGCGGCTGATTCACACGGAGAGAAAGACAAAGGTCCGATCATCACACCTTCAGCTGCTCCATCTCCGCCGTCTGAGCCGCCAGTCGGTTCTCCAGTTCTGCCTTGGCTGCATCTGAGGAGCCGTCACTAGGGGGCGCTGTGTCAGAGGGCTGGAAGAAGACACCAGAAATTAAACATCTGGGATTAACACTCCAACAGCAAAAGTATTTTTGTCAAGTTTTTAGTGCAAATAATCTTATTATATTTTAAATAAGATCAAACTGATTTAAAAGTAACTTTTTAGCAAGAAATAAGAGCTTAATTTGAGTCAGTAATTCTTGAATGTCAATTAAAAAGTAATAGTTCTACTAGCAAACCTTTTACGTATAACATTACGTACTACAAAATAAAATTTTTTTATCACAATCCCCTCTTTTGATTTTAAGAAAGTATGTAATATTTTCTTTTATTCCCACAGTTCTCATGTTTTCCAGTTCCTTTCATCTTTTTCTCAGACTTTTCCATTTCTTTCTTGCTACGTAACTCAGAAAATGAATTTTCTGGAAATAAATTCAGAAAATGGATTTTCTGAATTTGACCAGCAGCCAATAAGAAAATGAGAATCAGAAATAATTATTTTAACTTGTATAAAAAAATACTGAACAACAAAAAACAAAAATTATGACAAAAAATGTAAGATGGCAAAAATGAAAAACATTGAATCCCATAAACTTCACTTTCAGCTTTCTGGGGCCCCATAGTCTTATTTCGAGCGTATTAAGATGTTTGCACTAGAACCCAGACAGAAATACTTGGTAAGATTTGGTGTTTTTGCGTCCTGAACGTCACATCGTTATAATTTTTGATGACCTTTACCCCTGCTTCCGCTCTCCTCAGCAGCTCCTGCCTCTCGGCCTTCAGGTGGCTGATTTCTGCCAAATGGGTCTGAACCTGGTTCTTTAATGCCTC